GCCATTTCACATACTCAAAACCACCAGATGTCCAATTTAATTCTGGACCGAGATTGCGAATGTTAATTGAATATAATTATTGAAGATATCTAAGGTTATTTAACATTTGTGATTGAGTCATATTAAGCTTCAAGTTCCTAAGTGCCATGAACATTGAGCACCAGTCACTCCAACTCCTAAGGAATGAGTATAGGGTGCCTGAATATATTCTCCAGTGGGTTATAGGGATGTGGTCGAGTGTCAAAAAAAGTCATGGACGGGTTGAAATGCGACAGATCATTCTTGTTATAGACTATGCCGAATAAAAGATGATAAATTTGAATATTGACTTCTTGACATGTAGCAATAATTTCTTGCCTTCATATTTAGCTTTCAGAGTTGTACCGTCAACTGAAATTATTGGTCTATTGTATTTCAAAATGCTCGAGTACATTGTCTAAGAGGCATGAAGAAATACGTGAAATAATTCGCGCCCTCCGTCTCAATTAAAAATGTCGAGCCATGATTAGTTGTCCCATATTATGGCAATACCTGACCAATTTCACATGACTCTTTTCGACGAAGCCCATTAAATCATTCAACGCTTATACTTTAGCCTTTTAGTAGCTCATGACCATCTATTACTCTCAATGGGGGACATCATTGATGATGTCCGAAGGTCTGTTTTCTTTAATTCTATATTTTTATAATTTTCTTTATTTTATTTTTTATTTATCATAATTAAATTTTTTTTAAATTTGTTATGCTTTTTACTATTCTTTCTTTCTTTCTTTCATTTTAATTTTATTATTAATTTAAATCATTCTATTTTTTATTTGTAATTCTTATTTTTTTCTTTTTTTCCTTTATTTTATTAAATCATTTCTTCTTTTATTAGTGTCATTGTAAAATGAATCTATATCTTGAGCATATTAGTTACAGTTCAGTTTGCTTAATCTTTTGAGATTATATTTCATTTCATTATCTCTTGTAGAAAGTTCTAATTTGAATTTTTGCAAAATATAGTACTATCTCGATGTTGAGTTGAAACTGATGATAGGAAAATGTACTTGGAACAGTAGTTTTGACAGTTTTACTATTGTATTAGAGTTGCTCAATGATCAGCATAGAGATATGCTACATCAATCCTTCTTTTGGCCATTGTATCAGTTGAGAAAGTTGTAGTATTCCGAGCAGATCATTAATGCATTACTATGTCGACTACTTAGGTCAGTTGAGGATGATGCACTTCACTTCGACCTTGGAGGCAAGGTCGCTAGTTTCTTTATATTTGAGTTTGTCCTCATACTTGGACTGAAGATTATGGACGATGAAGCAGCAAGCAATGGTACTAAAAAAATAATAGGCTGTACAACACATATTTTTAGGTTGTTTAGCGCAATCATGAAATGCGACTAGATGTTAGACAAATTGAAGTTGGGATTGGTTTATATCATTCAGAGCGGGTGAGGTGTCATCGCAAAAAGATTCCGATTAACCTTTTCCATTTCGAGGTTGTTGACGACAACGTTGTTTTCAACAGCTATCCGTGGGGATGGAAATGTTTTGAGGACACTGTACTCTTCTTTATGAGATCACATTTGAAGCTCAAAGGTCCATTACATAAGTACGATACTTATGGATTGTCTTTGACAATACAAGTAAATGTTTAACATAATCAACGTTAAAAAAAATTTATACTAAATTTATATATAATAATTGTATGTGTTACAGACTTAGCCCATGAGATTGTCCCATTCTTGGATACTCGGTTTGTAAGGATGGGAGAGACATGCTGCTCTCGGATGCATCATTGACAAGCATCCGAGCAGATGATTGTCCATCTGAAAAACAATTATCACATTTCCTCGAAGACCCTCAAGTAAGTATTATACATCTGCAATTTATATTATATGTCGTTTCAATATCTCAGCACATGATCATCAACTAATTTAAATGTTAATATGTTAGCTTGAAGTTCTAACTAGTTTACGCCATCAACGGATGAGGAGGGTCAGGATTTTGCGCTTGAATTAGCCATTTCACATACTCAAAACCACCAGATGTCCAATTTAATTCTGGACCGAGATTGCGAATGTTAATTGAATATAATTATTGAAGATATCTAAGGTTATTTAACATTTGTGATTGAGTCATATTAAGCTTCAAGTTCCTAAGTGCCATGAACATTGAGCACCAGTCACTCCAACTCCTAAGGAATGAGTATAGGGTGCCTGAATATATTCTCCAGTGGGTTATAGGGATGTGGTCGAGTGTCAAAAAAAGTCATGGACGGGTTGAAATGCGACAGATCATTCTTGTTATAGACTATGCCGAATAAAAGATGATAAATTTGAATATTGACTTCTTGACATGTAGCAATAATTTCTTGCCTTCATATTTAGCTTTCAGAGTTGTACCGTCAACTGAAATTATTGGTCTATTGTATTTCAAAATGCTCGAGTACATTGTCTAAGAGGCATGAAGAAATACGTGAAATAATTCGCGCCCTCCGTCTCAATTAAAAATGTCGAGCCATGATTAGTTGTCCCATATTATGGCAATACCTGACCAATTTCACATGACTCTTTTCGACGAAGCCCATTAAATCATTCAACGCTTATACTTTAGCCTTTTAGTAGCTCATGACCATCTATTACTCTCAATGGGGGACATCATTGATGATGTCCGAAGGTCTGTGGATCGTTTGTGGGTCTTGATATTTGTACATTATTTGTCGATCAATACTTTGGCTTACCTATGATCATTTCGATGAATTCTCACTTTGTAAATATGTTCCCGTGTATACTTATGAACTATAAATAACTTATCTGTGTCTATCTTCATCGTTTGCAAAACTCAACTACAACCGTCGTCGATGCAGATAATTGTCAAAAACGACTTAATTTATTCACTTTGAACTCAAAGTTTTATTTAATGCAATTCGATGCACAACTTCTTGCAAATCTTTCTTCGTTGGAAATACTTGCTCGACATACAAATTCTTATCATCCGAAACCAAACGTGAAGAATTAGAGGATGATCCACTCGATCCATCTCCTAAGCTCTCATCCCACTCATGTCTCTGACGTGATAAAACAATTAAATTCTCATTTGTAAATTCATTTTCATTCTTCTTGTCAAGAACTATCAAAGAAATTTTATGCATAACAACGAGAACACGACGTGAAATAACTTTATCAAGAACAACCACATCATTTTCACGAGCTATCGCCACTGTGTGTCAAAAATTATTGGCATTATGATCCATTCTATGGAAATTTCGCGTTTACATTTGATGACATTCTTTCTTATTAAAGTCACGGAAAGAGGAGTCGTGTGCATTTTTTTTAATTCAAATAGATAATTCATTTTAGCATCAGAAGTAACCTTCATATGTGGAATTAGAATGGATGAATGCTCGTTGAATAGAAATCTTAGTTCTATATCGTACTGAGAATGATCGATTTTCAGCTTGTCTTGTAAATCATGGTACATCTCCGCATATGATGTACTGAATATTAAGAAAATTGGAATACCACCACGTATATCATTCGTCCATTTTTATATCCATCGATTTTTTTAATCCCATTCAAAATCACCGAAGTAACAAACTGGGATTACAGTCATATCTACATGACAAAACAAACCTTTTAATTATATAAAAAATAGTCGAAAAATCGACCCTGGAAACAGCATTTTTAATTAAAAAATAGTTGAACTGATTGTTAAAAATCGACCCAGGCTGGTCGATTGTTAACAGCTGGCAGCCAGCTGTTAATAGTTGATTGATTGGTTGTTAACAGTCAACCATCTTGATCGGCTATTAGCAGTGGATCCAGTTCCCTTTGTACATTGTCATTAATTTCGTCTGAAAGAATATACATATATATGAGTTTTTCTCGTTTATGCTTAAAAAATTTATCTACATATTAATTTATGTCAAAATAAGATTTATCGATTAAAAAAGTATACTAATATAATGAAAACGAAATTAAATATACATAAATATTATTATTGATTCGAAGTGATGGATATAAAAAAAAATTTCTTGTTTAGTTTTGATAAATTTTTGAGATTTTGAAGTTGAAGTATATGAAAAACGATGGTTTTTTTTATTTGTGTTGGAATAAACAGATAAGAAAAGTTAGCTGATTTTGAAATTTTAAGTGAAAAGTGTTTGGTTTTTACTTATTAACTACAAGTGTAATATTGTCTTTTAAATAAAACAATATTTTGCAATTGTATAACATATTTAAGAGCATCTTTGTCTTTTAACAACTAAAAGGTCATTGTGAAAATATGCAATTGCTGAAAATCCAAAGTCGAAATTATGGAGGTTGATTAAGTCAAATTTGAAAGTACTTTGATGCAAAAAGTGTAAATTTGAGAACATATATTTTAAGAATTGGTTCGTTTTATTGGCTTCATTTCCCAACAGATTATACACTTCTTTCTTGAGACATTTTGGTTGTAGGAGCAGGACACAAAATGTTATGTATATTGTATGGTGTGCGAAAATAGATGACTTCTTTGGTCTTGTTAAGTCAATTTCAATTTAACGTATCAAACATATTTTAACTAACTTGAGAGTAGCTTTTAAGAAAGAACATTCATTAATTTTGTCAAACAAACAAACACTAATCCACCTCAGAAAAACAATGAAAATATGGGGTGCAACGTTCTAACAACTAATCAAAATATGACCCTGGATCGACGGCTAAAAAATTTCTTGTTACATTCCAGTAGAAGCTTAAGGTCACATTGTTTAGGCAAAGGCATAGCCTTTTGGTCATAGGTGCAAGACAAAATGTTATGCATATCCAATATGGTGCACAAAAAAACATTCTACTGGAGGCTTAAGATCGCATTGTTTAAGCAAAGGCATAGCGTTTTGGTCGTAGGTGCAAGACAAAATGTTATGCATATTCAATATGGTGAACAAAAAAACTTCTTTAATCTTGTTGAGTCATGTTCAGTTTAACATATTAAATATGTCTTTTATTTAACTTGGGAGTAGCTTTTAACAAAGAACATTCATTAAATTTCTCAAACAAACAAACACTAATTCAAATTAAAAAAAAATATATAATGAAAATATGGAATGCAACGATCTATCAACTGATCAAGACACGGCCCTACATCGACGTCTAGAAAAATTTCTTGTTACATTCTCGTGGAAGCTTAAGGCCACATTGTTTAGGCAAAGCCATAGCCTTTGTAGGATCCCCAAACTTGGCAAACTCAGACTTGTAGTTGCACAGGCAATGCAAGTCAGCTTTGCGAATTGCAGCGCAGCAACTTTTATTGGGTTTTGAAGGTGATTTTCCGGTTATTGCCGGAAGACATTCAGCTAACTCAGAAACTTCTACCTTGCAGATGGTCGAGGTAGTGTCGCCATTAACTGTTGCAATGAACATTAATGCCACAAGCACAAGAAAAATAACTCTGTTTGCCTTAACCATCTCGATTTCACTGCAATTATGGGACAATATATTTTGCTTCTAGCTAACTTATATATACAATTTCGTGAGATTGGACACGTGAGTCCAGTTTGGCAATTAGGTCAGATTCTTTGACTATACTTTGTTTCTTTTTACCTTTTAGAGATGCTGGTATTAATTAAATTTGCTCTTATTTC